AAGATTTTGAATTCTGAGAGTCAGGGTATGGTTCTAATGTAAAATATATGAGTTACGTAATTGTTAAGATACCATACAATATTTGACCTTGAATGACCTATTTGTGGCAATCTGACCAGGTAAAAAATGGTAATGGTATGGTATATACATTGAATGACCTTAAATGACCTTTTATGATCTTAATGACTATCTGACCATGTCACAAGTGTTATAAATCCTTGACCATGAAATATGATTTTAGATATCATAATTCTCATTAAAGTGGTTTAAAAACCGATATATTGATAAATATAGGATTTGCGTGGCAGCAATTTTGAAATTCAAGATGGCCGCCAGATTGGCCTCGAATGAAATATTGTAGTTCATAGTAAAGATTTTGAAGTTTTGAGAGTCAGGGTATGGTTCTAATGTAAAATATGACAATTATGTAATTTTTAAGATACCATACAATATTTGACCTTAAATGACCTATTTCTGTCAATCTGACCAGGTCAGAAATGGTATGATGGTATTCCTTGACCATATAAAAATAATTTCAGACATTAGTGTGGTTTAGAAGTGGAGATATAGATAAACATAGGTTTTATTAGGTGCCCATTTTAAAAAATCCAAGATGGCCGCCATAATGTCTTCGTATGAGGTGGTTCCTACCAAAAATTGAATGCTATGACCATAAGGATCATGTAAAAAAAAATTGGTGCTTTTGTCCGGAACGTCCACATCCATCTACTGAGCTGCCGGACTATAGGGTGCCGATATTAGGACACTTCAAAGGAAAACTGATCTGAATGAAACGTTTGGGAAGTTTAACCAAGTTACAAGAAAGAAATGTTTATATGTTGGGAACTACCTAGTTGAGGGTGTAAATATCAGGGTCATTAACATTTCTGACGTCCTCGTCCTAAATATCTATAGAAATTTATTTTATGGGTCTAAATGAAACTTTCTATAATAGTTTGTCAAGGTTTAGTAAAGAAATGATTACATTTTTGTGACGAACCTGAGTAGAGTGCAGATATGAGGACCATTCAAAGAGAACCAGATATTTCAAAAACGGGTAAAAATTGATTTAAATAAAATTTTCGGGAAAGTTTATGGATATTAGCATTAATTTTTTTTCCAAAGCATTTAAACCAGATGGAGCTAGGTTAAACTCAAAACTACTGTGATATGAATGAATTTTTTTTTCAGTCAATCGCCATGAACGAGGAATGCATTGGTCTACACATGTCGGCTCATATATCAAGCAATGGTTACGAGTGTCGCTATTACCATTGCAACAATAGTTCGAATTTTACCAAATCGCTGTAGTTGCCCTTTTTTTTAACTTCATATTTCTTTAACAATATAAGTATATTGGTTTTCCTTATTTCACTTTATACATAATTTCAACTTAATTTCTTAAGAAAAACCCCTATGTCTAGTTATTATTATTATTATTATTATTATTATTATTATTATTATTATTATTATTATTATTATTATTATTATTATTATTAATATTATTATTATTATTATTATTATTATTATTATTATTATTATTATTAATATTATTATTATCATCATCATCTTGAACAGGAGATTTATGTTTTCAGTCGTTTACATTTGTGTGTGTGAGTGTGTGTAACGTTTTGGTGTTTTCATGTGGTTTTTTTGTGTGTGGCATCTCAAAAACGGCTGCACAGACATAATTAAAGACATTTTTAAATTTTGGTGACGGAGATATTCTCTCTACTTAGTGCTATTATTATTATTATTAATATAATAATAATAATAATTATTATTATTATTATTATTCATAATATATTAAATAATCTGCAACAATAGTACAAATGTTTTTATACTTGCATTATATGATATAATAGTGTTGCTATTTCAATCAAACTTTCTATTCTAATTTACAGGAGATTGGATAATAACTTAATTAAAGAGATTCCACTGGCTGTATATAATCTCAACGTAACGAGTTTGTTGTAAGTGTTGTATATTTACGTAATTTTGATTTTCTATGCACAATAATATATTGTACCGTTACACGTTTTTGGTATGCATAGAAGTTTTTAAAATGTATATTTAAGACAAAACTAACTGATTATAAGAACTTAAAAACTTGAAAAAGGTTAATGCCAATTTACACAGGGATCTTACGTCTTCCGTTTTGATAAAAATAGAAGCTTCAGGTTAATAATACTCGATTGATAATACTCATACTAGTAATATCTGGTATACCTCAAGGATCGACCTTCTATTATTAACTGTTGCTTATTTATATCAGTACACTAAGCAAGATACTCCAACAGCATATCATTTTAAGCCCACCATTAAGAAAGTCCACCTTTGCAAAATAAAACGAAAAAATGCTTTGAATTTTTAAGGTCTTGTTCTTAACATCAACAATAGTTTGGTCGTGTTACTGATGTACAGGAAAAAATGGTTAACAAAGCTTTTTTGGTATAAATCGATGTGCACGGGTTTCCTCTTTAACATGCGAAACTCCTATCCAATTTTCCATGGGGAAAATGTTATGGTCATTTTAGTAAAGCCTGCACATTTCTTAGTTAATTTCAATGATGTCTCATAGATTTGATAATACTCTAAGCATAGGCCAACATAATTTGTAGGCTGTCGTAACCAGGACTTTATATCAGGTATCTATTACAACGAAGAGGAACCTATATGCCTATGGTGGGATTGCGGGAAAGGTAAGATGGGGAGGTACGATGCCGAGGGAAAGGGTAAAGGCCTCAGTATTTGAGGAATTTTAGCATTTAAATGGCAAAGTTTATCATGTGAACTGTATTTAATACAAGCTAGTTTGGTTAATCAGAGAGTTTGTTTAAAGGAGAAAAGGGAATTCGCGCCAATGGTTGGGGTGGGGTGCGAAGGGCTCCCCCTCCCATATCTTGGAGCACAATTTATCGGGAAAAAAAAACAAACAAACTGTAAATTGATTAAATATACCTTTCAAATACCTAATTGTTGCCCGTTCTTGTCCACACCTACTTTGCCGTCTGGAAAGTCGGACTTTTCATCGGGGACTTCGCCACTTTCTCTCGTCAGCAACTAGCAAGTACACCGTATCCACAATCGCAGTGCTTATTTGCTCGACTTGAGTTTTATGTTCCAAAATAGAGGAGGAAGGCAGTGGGTACAATGCCACCGACGTATGGCCGATGTCCCTGAAGAGAAAGATGCGATGTCCCTGACGAGAGAAGATGCGATGTCCCCAATGGAAAGGCCTATTTTCCATCTTACATTGAAGTTAAAAAATTTTCCATCTCGAATATCAACCCTGCCCCCATCAGAGACATCACTCCTACAACGGAAATAAAGGTATATGCTATTATAATTCTTTTGCCTTGGTCAGACTACCTTGTTAAAGACTGTTACCAAGCTTTATTAACCATTACCTGGGATAAAGCGAAAATTATGTTTCGGCCGAATCCACATGCTGGTTTTGCACAATTGGGGTTTGATGTTCGAAGAACAGTTTTGTATCAGGTAGTCTAGCTCTCAGGTCATTTGTATTGTGAACTCTTTCGTTTCTTTTTGTTGGACCAATCAGCAGCATGCTTGTTGGTTCGAACCAATCAAACGCAACGTACTTGACCCGAATAACCTTGTTCCATGCGCGATGTGAACGCAGCTTAACATAAAACTTCTGAACGGAAGCTTCTTAGGATTATTGACCAAATTTTTCTAAGTTCGTCATTAGTGGCTGCCCAGATCAGAATAGTAATTTAGCCACCCTGATCCAAGGGAACATAAGGCCAACTTATGGCCCAAACAAGGTGGCTAATTAGACAGATCGTTTAAATAAACAATGGGATTCGCCAATGGTCCTATAGACCCTGATGTCTACCCTTGTGTTTTGGACTGTACTTGGCAGATTGGTTTTGACTTTAGGCTTTTTATCAATCCCTTCTGACTCTGTTGCATTGTCAAGTAGTAATCTGAAGTATTGTTGACACAAATAGAGGATAGCTTTCAGCTACTGTATACCATAGCGGGCATCACCAATTTCGGTGTGAGATAAAATTCTACGAAAAAATGTGCAAAGTTTCTGAGTTACATGTTACTACGCTTTGCTATATTGTCTACCCTTGAAGGAGATTTAGAGTCCCTCCTGAAGGATGTGATGCTTTCACCCAACCTCAGTAATAATTGCGCAAATTTCCCTTTTTAGCCTTTTTTGGAAGATATTTATATGCTTAAAAGGTAAGTCTGCACTCTATCTGTCCATTTTTTAATGGCTTTTTGATTATGCGGCTGATGTTAATTAGCATTCTCTATACAGGTTTTTAAAGGTGGCAAAAGGAAAGACCTCATCTCCCCAATACCATTTCGCTTAGTGAAAAGGAAGAGAACGAGAAAAAAAAAAAAGAGAAAAAGGAAAAAGTTCGTTGTCGTTGTTTTTGTTGTAGTTGTTATACAACGTATCATAAATCAAGCTGGACAAATTCAATGACAACTATACTAGCAGTTTCTAATAGAAAGTAAAATGCTGCGAGTATGCAATTCATGTAAATACTAATAGATACTTCAGTACATAAAAGGGCGTACTGATTTTTAGTTTTAGTATTAAAGGTTAGAAGAAATGTATGATTTGGTAACTTATAAGAATGGGTTTCAAAAATGTTGTTTACAATGTTACAAAACAACATAATAAAATACCAATAGACATGTTTGTAGTCGATCTTGTTTTTTTGTTAACCACACAATAGGCTTCACAGATATGTAAAAAAAGTGTTATCGACAATAGTCTTCACAGTATTTAAATCTGTTTTAACAAGAAAATATTTAAATTTTTAAAATATTTTCTCAATATTTAAAACTGTTTCAATAAAGTAGCTAAATGAAGAACATGCCTCACAGAAATTAAGTCTGTCTAAAAAAATGGTTTAAGCATATCGTGCTTCTCAGTATTAAAATCTTTATATAAAATAATGCTTTATCTACAATATGCTTTTTTATTTTTTAAATAAATGCTTTATATCCACAATATGCTTTTCAGAATTTTAATAGGCCTAAATGCTTTATTAACAATATGCTTTTTAATATTTAAACCTGTTTAAATACCAAGGTATTTAAACTGGTTTCGAAATAGTATTTTCATCAGGTAAGTGACCTAATTTCATTTAGTCATCGGCCGATGTCACCCGATGACGCGCACATTCTGTTGGTATTTGAGGTCTTTTCCACGGGGTCTTCTGTTCCCTTGGGTTGGTGTAGAAGGTCATCGTAAAAATGTGATAGCTTGTTTTTTTCCTTATCTCCATGTTGTTACTTTTCCTTTGCGATTAAATTCTAACTCTAAACGAACACATGCAACACCGTCAAGCTCTAAACTGACAATGACCTGGATTGTGTGCAACAACCTGCAAACAAAAGTACATGTGTAAATTAACATAAGATTGAAGCGCAATATTTGTTACAAAATTCACACAAATTCTGTATGTTTTACTAACGTATTCAATATAATTATCGATTACTATTATTTTATGAGATATTTTATTAGATGATGATTTATTAGTAAGATATTTGGATATCAATATACACCTACCTCCTAAGTATAATCATGGAAAAAAATATTTATCATCACAAAATTACAATATGGCGTCTATGATGGGCCTGTTGCCACATACAGACATCAACATAATCTGGCAATTTCTAATTTAGACCAGGCTATAATTGAGATAGGTGCCACTTGGAAAGGAAGAAATTCTGCCCTGCTCTGAGAAAAGGCATTAAGTAACAAAATCCTAGTTTTGAGTAAATGAGCAAAACGCGTTTGAGTTTTTCCCACGAAAAGTATAAATAATTTCAAATTTTTTTACCTATGGTTTTCTTAGATATATTATTAAAAAAATTGCCACATACTTTTCATTGATTAATTTTATTATTAAGGGGCCAAAATGGAGATAATGCCTTTTTTCAGAGTATTTATAACTATGAATGTAGATAAATACTTTTGAAATTGGGCATTATCTGCAAAAGTGTTTATAAACATGCATTAATTATTAATTTATTGAAGAGTATATATATGAAATTTAAGCTATAGATTTATAACATATATTTTATAAAAATCTTGCTCCAAAAAAGTGAAAACTAGTATTTAAAAATATCAAAATACTTGAAACCGCAAAATCTTCTATTTAATTTTTAAAAACCGAAGTATAGGTATGAAATCCAAAGGTTAGTGTAAAAATTGAGGGCTAGTATACTCTGACATTATAAAATGATAAATTTAATAATTGTGTAAATGCGGAAAATGCAGTTAGGGAAGGGGGAAGGAGCCGGTGTTGTCGGGGGGAGGGGGTGAGGTAAGATAGAGTGAAAATATTTTAAACTTATTTTATTTAATGTTCGGTAACTAGAATGTCATATTTTAAAATCTCTTCGTCCTCTCAATCATTATCATCCACATCATCATTGATAATAACTTGTTAATTAACAATAACTTGTAGAATAAGATGTATAAAAATGGTGTGCTAATTTTAAATATAAAATTAATAAATTTATATTTATTAAGTTATAATATGCATTGCAACTATTATTTTTACAATGATAATGATACAATACAACATAGGTTATACAAATGAGTACAAAAGATTTTAAAAGTTTTATTTACAATGCTCCGACTTTTACATTTTTATTTATTTTTTTTTTATAGTTATTTACACTTTTTCTTTCAAAATTGCATTACTCAATGTCCCTTCCTCGAAGTGGAGCACGATCTCGATGGCGAAAATTGTGTCTGTCCATCATGGTTTACCACTTGGTTGCCTTAAAGAGTAATAACAATGATGATAATAAGAATAATAATAATAATAAATAATAATAATAATAATAATAATAATAATAATAATACTAATAATAAATACAATACAAAACATACAATGTCGATAAAACTACTAAATAATAATAATAATAATCTAAATTTACTACTTAATAGGTATGAAACATAATAAAA